ATGGCATCCCAAATCGTGCTCTGAAGATTGCATTAAAAAACCCAAAATGCTTTACCCAGCTATACACGAAGTGCTTAACCGATGGTATTTTTTCAAAACTATGGAAAAAACAACGTTTGGTCTTATTACAGCACACCTGGAAGAAGTGGAAGACGGTTTATCTAGCAACCAATACGGGTTTCGCAGGAAGCGCTCGACCGCTGACCGGAATAGCAGATAAAGCAATTAAAGATACTAGGTGGACGCATGGCACGAAATAATACTGCGAAATCATCACTTTCGACGTGAAAAACGAGCCTTAGAGAACCTCAAAACTCCGGTATATTTATTTCGGATTATAAGAAGTTATTTGTCCGACAGGCTGCTGTTATACGACACTAAGGAAGGGGTGAAAAGTTATGCGGTAACTGAACTGGTGGAGTGCCACAATGCTCTGTTTGGGGCCCAATGTTATGGAATATCTTGTACGACGGAATACTGCGCCTCCCACTACCAAAATAAGCTAAAATAATTGGATACGCGGATGACAATAGTAGCAAAAGAGCTACACCAAATCCAAAGCGTTTGTACGTCTCAGAAAATTAAAAACTGGCTCGACGCGTCGAAACTTCAGCTAGCGGGACAGAAGACAGAAGCAGTCCTGATCTCGAGTATGAAAAAGCTAGAGACTATTACTCTAAACATTGACGGGCATGTAATTAGAACTCAGCCATCTCTAAAGTACCTGGGTGTCATAATTGATGCGAGACTCAACTACAAGATGCATATCGAAAAAACCTGCGAAAAAGCTGCGCGAGTGACTTCGGCACTAGCGCGAATTATGGCTAACATAAGTGGGCCAAGCCAAGCGAGAAGGTTTCTTTTAACAAAAGCCAGCCTATCAGTTATGCTGTATGCGTCACCTGTATGAGCACAAGCGCTGACCCATAAAATATATATGCCAAAATGGTGATTTCGCTGTGTAGACTAAGCGCCAACAGAGTAGCCAGTGTATTCCGCACAGTATCGCAAGAAGCTGCTAGCATTATATCCGGTATAATGCCACCAGATATAAAGGCTGTTGAGCTCAAAAGAACATATGATACCAGCAAAATACTCGGCAGGTCGTTAACAATAGAAGAACGAAAAGAAGAGAGACAAAAGAGTCTAAACGAGGGGCAAAACCGTTGGGATGAAACAACCAAAGGGCGATGGACGCACCAGCTTATCCAAAAAGTCTGGATGGATAGAAAGCACGGATAAACGGACTTTTATATGACGCAATTTCTCACTGGCCATGGCCCTAATAGAACTGAGAAAAACAGAACGGCTGCGAAAGAGCGAAACGAGAGCAATAAATAGAGTATAAGTACAATGAGATGCAAGAGCCCATAGGCTAAGCTTACCTTGCGAAGAAATACTTAACGGTAGTCCCGCAAGGTACATACGAAGCTGACGGAGTTAAGGGTTTAGCACGTAGGCATACCACTGCGCGTGGTCCCGAAAGAGGTGCACTAAGCGTACGGTATGAATCATGCATGCTGTCACTGGTGGCAGTATCTTTCAGAAGATTCCCCCTTCGAAAAAAAAACATATAACCGTACAAGTGTAAGTATGTCAGCCAATAGGAAAAATACAAACATTGTTATACAAGAACAACAATTGTCTCAAATAGCATGAGCAGCGTCAGAAATCAATATGGCAGCCAAATTGAAAAATCCAAAATTTGTAGTAAATCACACAACAACAAAATTTTCATTCATGAACGCTGGCACACATGCAATAAGCTAAGTCGTTTCGTTCATAAAAGCAAACGCCAGAGGTGACAAAAGTGTCAACAAAGCTTTTGTCGATTTAAAATATTTTTCCGTGACTTACAAAAATCTGCGTCAATATATATACATGTACATATTTAAACATATGTACAAATTTACAAATATTTTTCTTTCATGTTTCTTTACATGTACACATGATATAAAAATGCCGACGCCAAAACACAATTCTGTACTTTTGTGACTCCATAATGGTGTTAAGTACATGAATTATATTAAGATATTTATCAAAATTAATTAACATAAAATAATTTATAAAAAGAAATATATTTCAAATGGCATATCAATATTCCGTGTTTGGCATACGGCAATTTATTCTCTTCAATATTCACCTTTGGGAATGTTAAGAGAGCTATAAGTGTACAGGTTCACCGCTGTTATAAAAAAGAGAAATGTTATTAGTTTCTCCTGCGTGTGAGGTGACCTCCCCAAAACCTGCACCTTCTCGTTCTTCTACGTTCTCTGTCTAAACAAAGCGCCAACAGTCCTGCAAAACACGTTCTGCAGTGAAAAACTGTGAGACAATTTTTTTTTGCAGGTGAGGTGGTGGCCTTCCGCATCATCAGTGCTATCCTCATAGCAACGATATGTGCCACTTGCAGGTCAGAAATAGCCCCCCTCTAGTTAACCGTCGCTCACCTTAGAACCGCGTTTTGATTACTTCAGGTATAGGTAGTTAAGTTCAAATTTTCTGCATGTATTTCTTCTTTATATTCTTAAGTTCAAAATGCAAAAACAAAAATGTATATTCCAATTTTAATTTTTGTGATAACGGGATTTTAGTGTAAGGAGAAATAAACATAGGCCATTAAGTCTGCGTTCAGTTAGCTTGAATTGGAAATACCGTTATTTCTCATGAATTTGTTCGTTATTTTTGCCTAGATTCTATTGTGTTTTATTATAATTAGTCGTTTCAAGAGCTCGTGACTCGTTTTAATAATATTTAAAAAAATGGAAACCAAAGAAAAGAAATTAGTCTGTCGGAAAGAAAAATTATCATTAAGTTGTGGAAAGATGGCGAAAGTTTCAGAAAAATTGGGCAAACTATTGGAGAACGTATTCTTCTGTCCGGCGCGTCGTAAACAATTAAAAAAAAAACGAAATTTTAACGTCAAAACCGCGATCTGGTCGTCCGAAAATATTATCAGCCCGGGAAGAACGGAAAATAATAAATATGGTGAAAGTTAACCCTCGAATTACGCCCACAAAGATTATTGAAAACGTAAATATAACCATTAAAAAAACAATTTGTGCCGAAACTGCTAGAAAAATTTTACGAAAAGATATGGATAAGGTTCGCTCGAAAAAAACCATATATCTCACTTGTAAACAGGCGAAAGCGCATTGAATTTGCTCATAATTATATAAATAAGTCGCCGGAATTCTGGAGACAAGTAATGTTTTCGGATGAAAGTAAATTTTGCATTTTTGGCATTAAAGGTCGACAAATTGTGTGGCACAAGTCAGGAACTGACCTTGAAAAGCAAAAAAATGTTGTTGGTACAGTTAAACACGAGGTGGCGGAATTATGGTGTGGGGTTGCATGGTGGTTGGTGGTGTGGGTCATCTTGAATTAATTGAATCTAAAAAAAAATTTGGTTCCAACAAAATAATGACCCGAAGCATACTGCGGAAATAGTTAGACGTTAACTCTTGTACAATGCTCCTAGAAAACTTAAAACGCCCCCTCAATCACCTGACCTCAATCCTATTGAGCATCTATGTGATCTGTTGGAAAAAGAATTCGTCAGCATATAATAACAAGTAAAGAGGATTTGCGAAGTGTTATGAAAGAAGACTGGTCCCAGATTAAAGCTGAGGAAAAAGATAAGTTGATGAGATCAATGCCAAATCGATTGAGCTAGGTTTTAAAACAACGCGGCTATCCAACAAAGTATTGAATTTAATTTTTCTTTATCGTTTTTAATACATTTGTAACTAATTTTAAAGCTGAACGCAGACTTAATGGTGCCTATGTTTATTTCTCCTTACACTAAAATCCCGTTATCACAAAAATGAAAATAAGAATACACATTTTTGTTTTTGCATTTTGAACTTAAAAATATAAAGAAGAAATACATGTAGAAAATTTGAACTGAGCTACCTATTTACATTGTGTTTTTACTTCACTTAAAAAATAGTGTCGGGTAAACGCAGACTTTTTTGGCTACCCCGACCAGATCTTCTACGGCGGTGCGTTATCTTTGCCACCGCACACATTTAAAGAATGTGTATTCAGCGTAGTCTCTTGTCACGTCGTTGTATAGGAAGACGGCTCTTCGACTTTTCCCATTCTGTGGAGGTACTTTTTGAAGTATCCGTTACCGCATAGCAGCTGTTTTATGTAAAAGTCGACATCTCCGAATTTACGACTAGTCCATAAGTTACGGACTAATATTGCATCACCTGGCACTGTTCGGTAAGCTGATGCAACTCTGATGGCTGCGGTGCGCTGCACTCTGGCCACTACGTTACGCTGGTTTTACTTTTTTAGGACATCTGCACAGATCTCTGCACCGTATAATAGGACGCTGATAGTCGTTGACATTAGGAGCTTTATCTTTTCATGTCTGGGCCTCCCTATGTTGGCCATAGGTCTGCTGAGTTGGGAGGTAATTTAGTCTGGTTAATCTAGGGTCCAGTCTTACGCCTAGGCAGTTCACCGCTTTTTGGGTTCTTAGAGTATCCGTATCCCGGGCTGTAATTACTGCTGCAATGTCATCCGCGTAGCCAATTAGGTACGATTCGTCTGGCATTTCGAATTTAGTATGGCGCGTAGCTGAGGTTCCACAAGTCTGGGCCTAAAATGGATCCTTGTGCTTCTCCTGACGTAACCGATATCTGTCGTGATCCCTCTCTAGTTTGATACAGCAGTTTTCTATTGCAAAGGTAGCTCCTCACCACAGTTCTGAGATAGTCGGGGACTCTTACGATTTTATTGAGAGCGTGGGTCATGTCCGACCATTTAGCGCTGTTGAAGGCATTTCGAACGTCTAGAGCCGCCAGCAAAACTACTCTTTTGTATCGATAGGAATAATATGATTTCTAAGTGTCGTTTCGGCCATTTTTAATATTCATGATCTGTAATTTTTTTCGATTGTATTCAGTAATGTTTACAATTTCTTCATGCAAAGATATACGCAAGAACAACGTTTACATATTATTCAATTTTTTTATCAAAATAATCGTTCTCCAATTGCAACTTTTCGTGCGCTTTCTCCATTTTATGGCATCTCTGATGAGGCTCACTTTCATTTGAGTGGTGCGGTAAAAAAACAAAACTTTCGATTTTGGTGGGAAGAAAATCCACAAATTATTCATGAACAATCATTACATTCCCTAAACTGACAATTTGGTCGGTGCGTAATATTATCGTGGTATCATCGGTCCGTACTTCTTTCGAAAAGAAACTGGTGACAACGTTACTGTCAATGGAGAGCAGCATAGATCGATGATAACCAACTTTTTATGGCTGCAATTGGAAAAAGTTGATCTTGACAACAACTGGTTCCAACAAGACAGGGCTACGCGCCACACAGCACGTGCAACAACCGAATTATTGTGAGAAAAGTTTGGAGATTTGATAATTTCAAGAAATTGTGACATTGAATGGCCTCCAAGAAGTTGTGATTTAACACCATTAGACTTCTTATTGTGGGGTTATTTGAAGTCATTGTTCTTTATCAATATACCAGACTCTCTTCAAGCTTTAGAAGTCAATATTGAACGTACTATTCATGACATACGACTTGATTTAGTGGAAAAAGTACTCGTTCGTTAATTGGGTTCATCGAATTCGTTCCTGCAAAAGAATTCGTGGAGGCTATTTGAATGATGTTATATTCAAAACTAAATTGTAGCGATTCGAGTTCTCCAACTCGTTGCCTTCTATAAAGATTTCCCGCAGTGTCGAGTGAACAGTATGCTGATATCAAGTTGGAACCTTTTCCTTTACTGGCATTGTACATATTCAAAAGTACTGCCGGTCGCTCTGCAGCGATTTTTTTAAGGATTTCTGCTGGGATTGCGAGTGGCCAGTTGCAGCTCTTCGAGAGCGAACTGAGAGATTTGTTGAAGTCTTATGGTCTGTTCTGGAAATTTGTATTCACCATCATTTGATGATGGCAACAATGCTCCTGCACGGTGGTGAATTTGTCCTTGAATCTGATTGCATTTGTATATTAATATGTAATTTAGAGAAAAATCAATTATTTAAAAGGACGATTAAAACCACGTTGTTCAATAACATTGCGCCAAATGATGTCATTTGGAACATACTGTTATAACTCTGATTATTCTGCAAGAAATGCTTTGATATTGTATTAGAATTGAGTTTTTCGGGTGGTGTCAATAGTTTCGGTAATTTGACCCTTCCGTTCATGCAACATAATCCGGTCGATTCTAGTCGAAACCTCAAAGCATTGCAATGTGGACAAATATTATTCATTGTTCCAAATTCAACCGATTTATACCCAGCGTAACCGACTGTTGCATCATATCTAAACGCCAAACGTTCATAGGTAATTGTTACATTTGATCGTCTGTTTGGTTGCTTATTTAAGTAACTGATATGCTTTTTCTTTCAGCCGAGACCACCTACCAATGTAAACAATAGTAAACCAATTACTAAATTAGCATTTTTGTAAATATAATTAAGTATATAAATACAAGGTGCGTTCCAAAGTAAACAGTAAAAAAGTAACAAAGTAAACTCTAGTGGCGCCATCTATATGTCTAGTGCGTTATAATCTGCTATCCTTTATCGACTTTCAGTAAAAATTTCATGACATTTAATCTATTGGAAGTGAAGTTATTGCGTTTTAAGTGTCAGTATGTTTTTGTCATCAGTGCGAAAATGAGCTTCGAACAAAGAGCCAACATTAAATTTGGTTTTAAAATTGGTAAAACTTTTACCGAAACGTTTCAATTGATGAAACAAGTTTATGGCGATGATTGCCTATTCCGTAGCAGAGTGCACGAGTGGTTTCAACGTTTTCAAAGTGGTCGTGAGGACATAAATGAAGATGAGCCGAAACCCAAAAAATCGCGCCTGGAGAAGTCAAAAGTGAAGACAATGCTGATTTGTTTTTATGATTGGAGTTTTTATATGGAGTTTTGAAGCATTTGGTGTACCGTATTCGACGTGTTCGGCTCGAATATCTCGAAGAAGTTGGCGTTTGTTGCACGATAATGCGCCGTCTCATCGATCGACGCTTGTGGCCGATTATTTGACCAAAAATAACATTGTAACAATCAACCACTCCCCGTATTCGACTTCTACCTTTTCGGAAAAATGCAATGCACAACATTGCATTACTACTGTCTGGTGATTTCCGATAGATCGGTCATTCTTCGCTTTTCTTAATTCAAGAATAACAAAAGGTTAAACAATCGTTCTTATGGTGAAGTGTTGAGACGATTTGACTAACCATAAATATGCGTATGCAATTGCAAATTAATGAACCATTACAAATTTATTCCGAACAATTGCTAAAAATTGGGAATGGTTAATAGCCCTGCAACCAAGCACTGTACGTGACAAAATTTTTTAATTAAGAGTATTTTCCTGGAAAGAAAAATTAATTACTTGTATCATACGGGGCTTAGTAATCAGGCTACAAAGGCGGCCACACATGTAGATTTTGACGAGATACAACAGCTGTTGTCGGGTGATGAGATGTATTTTAAAATATTAAATAAAAAATGTCAAATTGTGTTTCTAAATTTGTTTAGATATACCCGTAATTAGAACTGCTAGACTATCGATAGTCGGACTACTCTACAGTTTCGATACTTTGAAAAATAATATCGATACTATTGATAGTTTTCCTCACTAAAATTTACTTCTTTGTTTAAATTAGGAGACTATGGCATTAAATTTAGGCTGACTTTCAAAACGTCACTAAACTACATGGTAACGTACAAGCGAATAAAAAAACCTAATCGCGGTTCGTGTAAAGCAGGTACTTATTGGGAATTTTAGGACGAGATGGACGAGGTGTATCGAATTCGCAGCGATGTGACAGTTCCTCAGAAAACATTAGATTTGTCGCTTTTAGCTGTACTGAGTGGAACCGCAGATAATAATGATTATCCTGTGTCTCAATATTTCTCAATGTTATCTTTGTTATAAACCAAAATGTATTAATTCTTTTCTTAATGTTGTCTTTGTTATAAACCAAAATGTACAAATATTTTTTCATAAATTTTACGTAGAGGTGTACATATATGTAAAATGTTATTTAACGAAAATTTATTCTAGTTTTAAGGAAAAAAAAGCTATTTAGTATTACTAAATTTCTCATTTTCTGTTTTTATAGCTGCATTATGTATGCAAATTGACAAAATTTATGTATTAAGCATATAAGAAGGTTAGATGTAGTATTAATACAAAGTAGTTTATAATTTTAATTATAAGTTATCTATGTATACTACTGTTATAAAGAGAAAAGATATGTATGTATGTTTGAACTGCAGAAACTAAAAAACTACTGTACCAGTTTCAAAAATTGCTTCACCATTTGAAAGCTACATTCACCCTAAGTAACATAGGGTATATTAAGCAAAGATTTAGGGATCCTTACTAAAACTTAAGTAATGCAACCCAGGGTCTAAAAAAGTGCCCTAAAACGTCTTTCGTCCCATGCGTTGCGGAAACTATTGATGATAGAACAAAAGTATGTTCTACAATATTTTAGATTTTTTCACAATACCGAAGGCTTGTTTTATGGAAACTCTTGTCGAACTAAGCACATTATTGAATCTTTTTTATTCTTGTGTGAGCACCGACTCCCAAAAATGGTATTGTGGAGGAATTTTACGTGTTTTTTTTAAGATAGCTTGTCGTATTGGGCTGGTACGCCACATGCATGCATCATGACATCATCGTGGATCTCCAGAGGATACGTCTGTAAAACGCATTTTGCTATCCGCTATTGCCTAAGAATTTCATTGAAGTTTCATTTTAATGTTAAATCTATACATATGGAAGAATTACTTACCTGTACAACAACTGGAAAAGTTCCTTTTTTATTGTAATAGCTAATGCTATCAGTTTTATGCTGCTGAATGCGAATATGCATTCCATCCACGCACTCTAACACAAATGGAAATGGCAGAGGACGACTTGACACGAACTGCTCCATAGTAGCTCATTGGCACTCGTCGGTTGATGGAAATTTTATTAGCTTGGTCTCAAGTGACCGATTTCTTTTATTGTTCGTATAAAGTTATAATATGCAGTTCCTAGGTGAAACCGAGTGTTTTGGTTACTAAGTTTCCACAAAGATAGGTATATAAACCTTTCCAGTGATAAGCAAAGTCGGCCAGTTCGGAGTGTTCTCCATAATTGCTTTAGCTTGTGTTATAGTTTCTGTAGAGGATGTATTTTAATGTTTGTTTATTAGAGGATACCCACCCATCTGAATGTGCAAAATATGTGTATAGTTACCTCACAAGTGGCTGGTTTCATCCTACAGTGAGCGAAAAATAAATCACTAGGCAGTTCCAATATAGTTTGCCAGAATCCACAATTTTTTGGCAATCTTCTTACTCGGTTTTTATTAATTACACTATTTAAAAAACACACTCTTTTATATTTTGCCTTAAATATTTTTTTATAGATCTAAATAATATTTAGGCTTCTATTTTCGGAGAGATTTAAGAAATTGTTTAAAATTAACCCCTTGGTTTGACTTCCATCCATTTCTTTGCTTTTTCACTCGCCAAAACATAGAACATAAAACAGCTGATTGTGAGAATAACACTTTGCAGTAAAAGTGTTCTGTAACGTCAAATTATATAGCCCATCATTTTACAAGGTTGTTTAACGTTGCATACAGACGATGTATAAAAACTGTAGTCGTACTGTATCAATTACTTTGCAGAAGTACGTTTTCGAAGTCAGCCTTATTTATAAAACAATAGCAGAAAACATGAAAAAGTTAATAAAGTTACACATAAAATTTATTCATGTTATTATATAAATGTGTCTGTGAGCTGACGAGATAGAAAAAGATAAATTGTTTATACACTTATGTGAAATGAGATCAATAAATTTATACTTAAAAAACGTTTCCATAGAGTACTTTATTCATCAATAAGCCACTTAATTTTGTTAAAAAAAAATTATTTTTAACCTTCAGAGCTGCTCTCCTATCTGATATTAGCAATCCACCCTGGCTGAATATTCTCTCCGACTCTGTAGAAGTAGCTGGAAGACAAAGGCATCGACTGTTACAGATGCTGAGAGACGTCAATTCATTTTCGTTGCTCTGTAATGGAAATAAAAATAAGTTTATAAGAGATATGATGCGGTGCGGTTTTTGTAGTGAAAAAAAAGTAGTTTGATGCGCTCTATCAAAAAAAAGGACAATACAAACCCGTCAGCTGTTTTTACTTGGGTTTTCATATCATTTAAAATATCATTTTATATAAACCAAAAGTAAGTAGAATTATCAAAGAAATGGTGACAGTGCTGCTAGATGAAGTTTGCACAGTAGCATCATGAAAAGGAGCAAGGAGTTTGCATAAATCAATTAAAACGAATACCTCATCCACAGTGAGAGGTGATGGAGCTTTTGACGTACTAAGTAGTACTTTCGAAATTGAGGCATTATTTGCTAAAACACGTTTTACAATAAAATAGGCACTATGGTTTGGATGGTTCTAACGAAATGAAAGTGTATAAAATAGTTATATTTAATAATTTTCATATTATTTTATAAATATTCTCTACTTATGCCAAGCCATGGATGTAAGGCTGATTTTACACCTTATTAATGTGTACAATATAATCCGAAACCACGTGCCCAATCAAGGTTAGAATGAAAGGATGGTTTAACACCTTATGAATGTTTAGAATATAATTTTGTGCTCAACTAAACCAGGGATGAAGTATCATTTTAACCACACCTAATGCAATTGTATAAACTTGTTAAATTTAATAATTTTTATATTATTTTTTAAATATTCTTTACTTACGCATTTGAGATCACGTGGTACGTGCACGCAACCAAGCCAAGAATGAAATAAATGATGTTTTTAAGGCTATTAAGTGAAATTTTGCAAAATAATATGAAGATTGTTGCTAGTCAAACCATAAAAACCATCGATAGTCACAATAAACTATCGATAGTGAGACGAAAAAAAACTATTGATGACCATCGATTATTTTGCAGCTCTGGCATCACATACTCTTCGGTTGAAAATTGGTTCACCTATTATTCTTTAGAGCAAATTGATCCAACTCGAATATGCAACGGTACACGTTTGATAATCAAAAAGATTGCAGGAAATTTTACTGAAGCAACCATTATGACTGGAAAAAAAAGATACGTTTGGCACTCAGGACTGCCGCGGTAAAGCTGTTGCATAACATTTTTTATCAACTTATGCAATTATAATTTCATTGATATTAATTCAAGTTTTTCTTTGATATTAATTTAAGTTGAGCGTGGTGACCGATAAGAAAACAAATTTTTTTCTCTTATTGAATAAATGAGAATTGCTTAAAATATTTTTATTATCTTACAATACATGTAGGTTATTCAGGAATTTTTGTCATTGAAACTATAGGTTTATGATAACTGAAATAAAAAACATAAGTTTGAGACTTGATATCCGCTAAATATCTGAAAAATACCGCAGCAATGGTAGCCCCATATTTTGTTGTGGATTCTTGTGAATCATTATTATTCATTATACTCTTGCAATCTATTTCTACAGAGTATAATAGTTTTGTTTACCTAACGGTTGTTTGTATCACCTAAAATTTATCGAGTTAGATATAGGGTTATGTATATATAAATAAACAGGATGACGGAATGAGTTGAAATCTAATAATCCGCCATAATCAAAACAAATAAATTGTCATAACTAAGCTTCACAAGTTACAAGACTGTTATTTGGTATACAGGGAGATGCATCTGCAGTTTAATTTCATTTTACAAATATGTTTAATAGGCATACCTCCTAAACCGCTAAAGTTATAATAACAAAATGCACTAAGAACAACTGTTTTTAGCTCGTCTATCGACAGTGTGAAAATGGGTGAATTAGGGGTGACAACCCCGCCCACTCCCCAAATAACTGTACTGTTAAAAACTACTAAAAGCGCGATTAATCAAGCACTAAACACGACAGAGAGATTAAATTTTATCTCTGGAATGGTATGAGATGACTTTATAGGAACCGCATTTAAAAATAGAAATTGGGCGTGGCACCGCCCCCTTTGGTGAAAACCCATATCTAAAAATTGTCCAAGTCGAACCAAAACTGTATGTGGACCCCAGTGCCTATAATTGACTTTTTACCGAAAATATCAGTCAATGTGTATGATATATAATTGAAATTCATATAATAAAATAAATAAATGAGACTCTTGATAATAGTATGTTATTGTGTCAAAAATAAGTTGAATCGGATCAATACTTTTTTTGATATAAAATTTTGCCAACACCTGAAGTCATTTCCCGGGCTTTGATCCTTGCAAGTTGCGAGAGTATAAAATGTTCGGTTGCACGTGAACTTAGAACTTTGTTACTTGTTTTCAAATTCAATTTTTCCAAAAGAAAAATTGTCAACCGCTCTGATTTTTATCAGCGAAGTTGATGTTGAAATCGCCAGCCAAGATAAGTGGAAATTTATTACCATTGATAACCCGATTGAAATACCTAATTTCAATTGTATTGTTCAATTCAAACGAGATACTGTTCAAAAAGGTGGAGAAGCTATTTACCAAAATAATAATAATGTTGTTAATATTATGACTCCGAATATTGAATAATTTATATTTTATTAATTAAATATTTATTAAATTCCATGTTTTTATTTGCCATTAAAGAAATTTTATATTAAACTAGCTGACCCGACGAACTTCGTACCGCCATAGCGTAGCTTTGATGCACTACTTTATTTTATATAGCTGACAATCCTATTGTCTAAGGTATGAGTACCTATTCAATTTAAAATGGAATCTATAATATCCTCCATATAAAAATGAATCCCCATTTCCCTGGCCTCCCTTTAACTGAGAAGGACTTTACTAATTTCATAATTTTATTAAATAAAAAAATATATATTTTTTTATAATAGTGTTTATTCTATAGGGTTTCATAACATACACTTACATTTTTACAAATCGCTACCGAACAACTTGGCATTTTGAAGTAAACACTGAGCTCAACACCACGCGCGCTCTAGAAAGCAACTAATAGCTTTATTTAAATTGATATTAGTTTTGCACATACTTGTATATGGAGTTCTCACGGTTACGCCCACATGGCTCCTCCATACCCTTCTCTGCTCTGAGGTTTATTCTAATGCTTTTTGATAAACAATATTTTTAGTTTTATGTTCTGGAGCGTAAATAAATAATGTCGATGGTTTTCCGACACGGGAACAGGCGACATATGATTGGCCATGTGAAAAACGTGGGATTAAAACATCTTCGCCTTTGTACTTCCCTTTCAAAATTGTGGCTTCGATGACATTGTTCAATAATTTCTTCACCGCAAGCCGGGTGCCATTACACAGTCTGTTGCTGGTTTATGTTCCGTAACATAATAATTACTGATCCGATTTTTAATTGCAGATTATGAGGTGGTAAGCCGGGCAATTCCAATTTAAAAATGCAGTTGGATAATTGACAACTTCATCTTGATTATTAACGAAATCAACTGATTTGTAATTCTTCAATTCGCCAGCTATTTTATTTTGAATCTGAAAATTCATTTCGTTCACATCAACATTTTTTGCGGCCAATATAACACGTTCACTTAACCAATTAACCAAACATGATTTTCGTAATTTTGAGCAATGTTTGGGAAACCTATCTCCATGAGTTCGGTTTTTGATTCACAAAAGTTACAAAAATTGGTAGGGAATGTACCATTACCAATATCGAGCAGTTGTTTGGAGAACACTTCTCCAGACTGGTCATCCTGCAATTCGACTCTCATGTTTATACTCAATTTAAGTGTTTTAATGTATTTCCATAAAATGGACGACTTCCACGCATTCAGTTCATCAGCTGGCGTTGATCTTGGAATAACTGCCAATATTTGTCAAAAATCACCTGCCAATAGTATCATCGCACCACTAAACCGGTTTTTGTTGTTTCGTAAATCTTGCACCGTGCGATCTAATGCCTCCAAAGATTTTTTGTGCGCATCGCAGAATTTCACGAAAGATTTCAAGGTGGAGTTTCATTAATTTGAAGGTTCAACGGCAGCTTGAGAGCTGAATGAGCTGTTCGACCGCCTTCCAACAACGTAGCTGTAATACCTGATGACGCTAGGGCAAGTGCGATTCCATTTTGCGATCGAATCGTTGCCAAAATCAATGATAACAAAAAAAATTTTCCTGTTCCACCGGGAGCATCTAAAAAATAAAAACCGCCAGTTCCATCGTTCGCTACATTCATAAGCGTATCGTAGGCATATTTTTGTTGTTGATTTAAAAGGGGAACTGTTCAATAAACGGTTTCCCGAAATGTTTCGGAATCGTATTGGGTTTCGCGTCTCAATTCATGATCAAATGAGTCGTACATTGGGCGATTGGGTGCTATCATGCCTATTTGTATTAATACTTTATTGGTAAGCATTAAGCACATGTCCTCAATTAAAATTAATGCTTCATTGTGAATTTCTTCGTTCATTTGCTAATCTGCATTCGATGTTCTAAGACGTACCAGATGCATTTCTGCCCACTTTGGATTGCATGTGAACGTGATAAACAAATCTGGTGTGCCATAATGTCGTACATACGACATAGCATCTTGAGCATATTCATGCATATGTCGCGGACTTCCGACGTATGTTGCTGGGAGAATAGTTGTTCTGCCAACATTCTGTGCATTTCCATCAGCATTGATGGCATCCCGAAGATGAATGTAATCCTCGGATCGGAGTTTTGCCTGGTTCAACCTGATAACTGTCAATCGTTCAGTGTCAACTTTCACATACATATCCACAGCATATTGGTGAAATAGACGCCGACATTTTAAGATGTGATTGTCCTCATTTTCCCGAACCATCAGTCATTAATAATAATTCATTGAACTAACTTTTTTGTTCGTTTCAGCAGTTGTAAACAAATTTTTGTGTTAATAATATAAATTTTAAGTTATTGTATTAAACATATATTTTAATGTAGTAAATCTGATGGCATGCAGTCTAATGCGGTTGTGAATAATGCATCTAATTCATTGTGTTGATGGAAAAGTGTTTGAAGTTGTTCTACAATGGATCTTTTCACTGAATTGTTGTGTGCACAACGCTGATCGACTTCTCTTGCTGAATTGCCCATAAAATAGATTTGCAAAAATGTATGGTCATCATCAGGCATTGGCAATAAGGAACCTGTTCGATGATACATTTGACCTTGAATCTGCAAGAATATAAATATGTATTTAGATAATTGTATAGCAAATTGTTTGTACCACCATGTGCCTCACAAAATATTGCCACAATACTTTACATCATTTCAAGTTAAAACTACTTTAAACCTCGACATTGAACAACAGCGTTCCTTGGTATCTAGCTTTAACAAGTGTGGGAACACCTTGCTCATGCCACTAAGAAATACAACATGTTATAATATGTTGCTGATTAAGTCATTGGATTATACACTATTATTTGACTTATTGTTTACAAAATAAACACATCTACACAGCACTGGCTCAACATATTTTGCACCAGCCACATGGTGGTACAACTAAATAAAATTGTTTGCCATTATATGGTACTTACATTGAAAGTAGGCATAAAACTATCTCGAATAACTTTTGTTGCACCAAATGATGTCATTTGAAAGCAATTATTGTATTGCTGAATATTAGTTAAAAAATGATAAGAATCTGGCTAATTTCCGGAAACCAATGATTGTAGTGGCTCTGGTGGCGGTACCAATGGCGTCAATTTGATTTGGGCGCTGGCGCACATCCACAATCCAGGGGCTTCATTTTTGAATTTCAATGCCTTGAAATGTGGACACATAACATTTATTAGTCCAACAGCAACAATTTGCTCTGAACTGTAATTAATTGCCACAATATAACTGAATGCAGCCCTGTGGGGATTAAACACAACATTTCTATCTTGTTGATTTCGATTCCGTTCAACTTCACTTCGCGCTTCGCGTTGCTCATCAGTTTGATTTGCTCTTATACAAGTATATCTTTGACTTGCAGTATTTCGAGTTCTGCGCCCTAATTTTGTACGTCTGCTTGGTGGTATTTTTAAAAACGAAAATCCAACTGAAAATAAAACAAGTAAGGAAGGGCTAAGTTCGGATGTAACCGAACATTTTATACTCTCGCAAAGTTAAATGGAACATTTTATACTCTCGCAAAGTTAAATGGTATATTCGTTTGAGACTTATTTATATATTTTAATAATTAGAAGTAGGAACTGTTGCCTTAGTTATTTACTTTTCACTCACAGTGAAAATAATTAGAACAATTTGTAAACTAAATTTAATCAAATTATGAGAAATCGTTCTTGTGCTTTTTGTATACGCTTATGATTGATTTTATATAGAATGCATTACAACTGTATTGAGAAGTATGAAAAGAAATCGTTTTTTGACAATGAATAACATTTTTTATTTATTATATCGATAT